TCTAGAGTTAAGACCGTAATGTATAATAGTTTCAAAAAACACTATATGATGAATTCAGAAACTGATAAATCCACATACACATAATTGAGGTATATATGAGCATTACAATGGATAAAATTCAAACACTTACTTGGGTTGCACGTTTCCGGGTTATTGAACTTTCTTGTCATGTTATGCTTCGTGTAAAGACTCCCACTGATTTTCTGTTCATCTTCAGGTAGTTTATGTAGGAAGTCAGTGTAGAATGTATACATTAGATTAAACAAGATGACAATTGCGTTTATTTAAATCTCTACTCTATTTTAAATCAAGGCGTTATTACGCATGCAACCATTTTGTTCGACGTACCTGCGATTTGGCCTCCAGCCACAGACTCAATCAAGGTGGGAAACATGTCACTTACATGAAACAATCTGTAAAGCAACATTTCTTGTCAATATAGTTATTGTCACTGATCCAATACAACTGGTTGATTTTTATCATCATATCGTCATAAGTGGGGAAAAAGTTGCATGTGACAATACATGGAAGACTTACATGAAAGTTCAGTATAGTCTACGCACCCTTTGGTAACGTATCCCGTTTTACGTATACCTTTGCCGTGAATCAAAGCAATTGCTTTTATTCCTCCCTCGAAGTAGGAATACAACTGGTTGATTTTTATCATCATATCGTCATAAGTGGGGAAAAAGTTGCATGTGACAATACATGGAAGACTTACATGAAAGTTCAGTATAGTCTACGCACCCTTTGTTAACGTATCCCGTTTTACGTATACCTTTGCCGTGAATTAAAGCAATTGCTTTTATTCCTCCCTCGAAGTAGGTACCTTTATCTCCTCGCAAAGGCCAGTTACTGGCATATGTTTTTACATCGCCACCATTCTGAAACAAAACACAAATTTAACTATAAAATTGTCTTATATTAAATCATGCGAGCAGGTCGAATGTTGATAATCTGACACTTACATCTGAATGGAAAATAATGAGAGAATCTTCATACATCTCCATCTCTTTTAGTTTGTTAACAACTTCCCCAACCATTGTATCCATCAAAGTCACTTGTCCTGAAATGAATTGAAATTGTATTCAGAATATAAACATTGTATAAACATTTTTTGGTAAACAGTAAAAAAGAAGTTCATTTAAATAATATAACTTGATTTTTAGCTACCTGAGTAATTGCGACGAACTAAATCAGGAACATTTGGATACAGATTTGACCATTCACTCTCCACCTTACAACATTACAAAAGCGAATCAATTATTTTAAATATGAGCCGTATGTGACAATAAATCTTTACACCAAATTTATACCAATTCAAAATATGTAAATATTCTTTAATTTGCTTAAGGTGGTTAAACACTAATATTGGTGACATACCATAACTGGCGAGTGAGTTTGTTGAAGTGCGACGTAGAAAAACATAGGTTTTCGTGGATCATGTTCTGCAATGTATTCTGCGATCTTTTTCCGGTACAGATTCTGTTAAAAAAAACACGTTTGTACTATAGGCATGTCTTTTTTTGCACACAACTGAGTCAAGGTTAAGATAATAAACGACCCTTCTGTATTATTTGAACAAAGATGGACGACCCGCCAGCTCATAATGAACGAAAGCACACTCTGTGCGACATATGTAGTACAACACGTGCTTGAATCCACTATGGTTTTGCAGGGAGTTAGATTTATTATTTTGTAGCGTTGTCAATACCAGTGTTTGCCGTCATTATAAAGCAGAAAACCTGGAAAATTCCAGAGTGAACGTTTTACCGTCAATGGCCTTTGAATTTGAATAATTTAAAACGTCTTTTTTGAAATTCATTTTTTAACTCAGTCTCAAAATGGAAAAATAAAATGAGACAGAAACTAGTTTTAATCCAACAAATATTGAACGTGTTTTAAACATTTACATTGCGAGTGGGTGAGTGACTGTGGCGTGAATTAGCATTGTAGCGAACGCCATCACACTATGCTACGCCAGAAGCAAAAATCATGTGACTGTATAATAAAAACAAATATTTTTTATTGTTTATGCAAACTGTGACATTCACCGAGGAGTAAATTCACACAAGAAAATACAAGTCACGTCGGTCTTCCCTTCCATACTTCCACTTCGTGTGCCCAGTTTGCTTGGATAAATTGACCCCCGGGCTAACCTTAGTTCATCATACATTGAGGGACTGTGCTTCAATAATAACAATAACACATAAGGGCGGCCCAGTCGGACGG